ACAAATAATACAAATTTATTATACTTTGAAAATTCAGACAAGTAAATTATATAAATTAATTACGGTGTACTATAAAGAAAAAACAAAAGATCCAAGTTCTCCAATGAAAGAATCTACGTACATAAAATATTTTAATCATAATTTATCTTATTCCTTTAGAAAACCTCTCACGGATATTTGTAATTTTTGTTTTTTAAACAGATTTAACAAAGATCATAATAATGAATTAGTTGACCATAAAAAAAGTGTAGAAGATTATAACAAGTTACAAAAAAATGTTGTCTGAAATGATGTATTATGCATTGAATTTGACTTTGGACAAAATTTGTCATTGCCGAAAATTCCATGCAATGAACAATTTTATCGACTGTCGAGAGGCCCCAAACATATAAGATTAAGATACAGTATATTTGTAACCCTGTAGGCAAAAAACCATAATCGTTCTCAAAACGTTTTAAGGACGTTCTTAGAACGTTTCATGTCCTCCAAATAATGTTCTGGAATATTTTAAGAACATGGATGTTCAAATAATGTTCCAGAACATTATTTGGTAGACATGAAACGTTCTAAAAACGTTCTTAAAACGTTTTTAGAACGAACATGGTTTTTTGCCCACAGGGAATTGTGTCCATAGAAGATAAGTTGTATTACTCCCTGCATTTTTAAGCTATATCTAAACCTTTGTGCGCCAACACATTGCATTTTTGACTAAATGAACTTGTAAACATTTTTATCTCCAAACCGACTTAAATACACCGAATGCGTTACTTTTAAGTTAGTCCTAATCTAAACCCTAAAACTGTAAGAACTAGAATAAAGAATTATTCTAAATTAATATTGCATATTTCTTGCTAGTCCCTTAAGGCCCAGTGTTTCCCCAATAAAATAAATTAATTAATATAAAGTGTAAAACGACACGACATAAAATTGGTGCTCAGTGTGGGGTACACTGTGGAGAAAATTTGAGAATTTTCGACGAGGAGTTCAACAAGACGACGTCCAAGTTGAAACGAGGACCAAGCCCCTTCTAGACAGAAGAACGAGCAACTCAAGGCTGAGGGGAATCAAACTAGCAGCTAACAGGACAAATTAACAAAAAGGTGAGTGCTTTTAAAAAAAAGAATATTTAAAGCATTACACATATAAATTATAAAGATTATATAAATCTTGGAAAAAAAGAAAATTTTATTTATCATGGATACGAAACCGGGATTATTTAAACAATCTCTTGAAAATATTTTTGGAACAAAAAGGAAATTGAAGATAATCAAGATAAAAATAACGAAGTGAAAAATGAAGTCATAAAAACGGAACTTCACGCGGAAGATATTAAAGTTTTAGAAGAAGAAATAGAAAGAAAACAAGCATTGCTTAATTCTTTGAAAACACCGCGAGCGACGGCGCCACCAGAAGAAGATAACAATTTTTTGAAACCAAAAGATGTAATTTCTTGGGTGTCATCTTTTGACGGATCGGACAATGTCATAATTTTTGTTCAAGAAGTCGAAGACGCGCTTTCACAAATGCATAGGTGGATAGATAAAAAATGTGTTTTACGTATGATTTTAGCTATTCGTGTAACGAGTCAAGCAAAAGATGTCATACACTCTCAAGAAGCAGATAATTGGGATGAAATTAAAGATTTATTACTAAATTATTACGATATTCAAGATGTGCCTTATACATGTGTGAAAGAACAAAGAAGTAAAGTTGTGCAGAAGCATAATGAAACGGTAAACGCGTACGCGAAAAGATTTTTAGCTTTTCATAGAAAAGTTATGAAAGCAGTCGGACAAAAATCCGATCCGATTAGGACAAAGTTTGCACTAGAAGCGGAAGAAGAGGAAGAAATTTGGAGATTCACTGTTGGTCTCACCGATAAGATAAGCGAACGTGTAAAAAATCAAGGGCCACGCACTCTTAAGGAAGCGATGGCTTCAGCTTTAAATTCGGAAAGTACTTCTTCGAGAAAGAGAACTTTGTTGGAAAATGGCTCAAATATCAACAGATAAGCGAGTAGATTTTAATAAATCAAATTTTAGTAAATCTAATTCAAATCGATTAGGAAAAACAAAATTTCCATTCTGCTGAACGCTATAAAATAAGGAAACTACAAAATAAACAAACGAAATTAGAGATCAAACATGTTCAATGTGTCACACGAAGGGTCACACCGAGGCGAAATGCTGGAAGAAAAATTGCAAATTAAAAATTTTAGACAAAGAAGACTCATACTTGGTAGCAAAAGATAATTTTCCCATAGAGTATGATGGAATTACAGGTATTGATGTTATGGCAAATCACAATGCCATTAACAATATAAATGATCACACTATTACACTTAGCGATGAAATTTTTAAACTAATTAAAACCCCTACAATTATACCTCCTCTTACAGCAAAAGTTTTTAATATTACCTTAGACAAGGAATATTCGTAACCTTGTTTGTTAGAAGGAAAGGATATTACGCCAGGTATTATTTCGGGTAAACAAAAAGATAAAATCTATCATTATAATTCTTCTATGGATTATCAGTATATTTATCAGTCTGATATGAGTGTCAGACCAATTAAACTAATGGAACTTCCGGAAAGTGTAAAAATCCGTACACTTAAAACTGTCGACGTTTTGCAAAGAAGAGAATTACTTTTCTGTAACACGCGATTAAATCATCTTAAAGATATAGAAAGTGAAACAATTAAATAAATTATTAAAGATTTTACAGATGTATTCGATTTGCCAGGAGACGAATTATCTGTAATAAATGGAGTTACACACGAAATACACTTGGATACTGCCATCCCTATACAGACGAAACAATACAGGTATCCACCTGTTCATCAACAAGTGATAACTACACAAACACGAGAGCTGCGACGAAAAGGAATTATTGAAGAATCTAATAGTCCTTACAGAATCTCATTATAGTTGGTTCCAAAAAAAGGATGCATTGGGAAAACAAAAATGGCGGATCGTCGTGGATTACAGGAAAATTAATGAACATACACCTCAAGACAGTTATCCTTTACCGAACACCGAGGAAATTATAGAAAACATTGGAGGAATGCATTATTACAGTGCTTTTGACTTATCTTCTGGATTTTATCAAATTGAAATGGATGAGAAATCTAAAGAGAAAACAGCCTTTTCAACACCGGATGGACATTTCCACTTCAAGAAGATGCCAATGGGATTGAAAAATGCTACAGCTGTGTTTCAACGAGCAATGAATTTTGTACTCCGAGGATTGGTAGGAAGAATATGCTATGTTTATTTAGATGACGTCATTATTTTTGGTTCGACTTTAGAAAATCACAATAACAATTTGAAAATTTTACTAGAAAGACTGAGAGAATTCGGTATGAAGTTACAACCAGATAAGTGTGAATATCTACGTCCGGAACTGGAATACTTAGGTCATATTTTATCACAAAGGATGGAATTAAACCTAATAAAAATAAAATTAGTACAATTGAAGAATTTAAAGCTCCGACAAATCAAAAGGAAATAAACAATTTTTAGGCCTTACTGGATATTACAGGAGATTTATAAAAAATTATAGCAAAATTGCCAAGCCGCTAAAAAATCTTTTAAATAAAGGAGAAGAATTTAAATGGACCAAAAAACAGGATGAAAGTTTTGAATATTTAAAACAATCTCTGATTAAAGAACCGATTTTTATTTATCCGGATCATTCCAAGGAATTTACACTTACTACAGATGCCAGTAATTTTGCATTAGGAGCCGTTTTATCTCAACAGGTCAATGGATTTGATAAACCAGTAGCGTTTGCATCGCGCACACTTAACGATGCGGAAACTCGTTATAGTACTACAGAAAAGGAACTACTAGCCATCGTATGGGTTACAAAACATTTTAGGCATTTTCTTTATGGTAAAAGATTAAAAATTTTGACCGATTACAAGCCATTAAAATGGCTTATGAATGTAAAAGACCCATCTTCACGTTTAATGAGATAGAGGCTAAAATTAGAAGAATTCGACTATTACATAGATTACAAAACGGAAGTCTAAACACTAACGCTGACGCTTTATCTCGTCCAGTGCGCGCTCTGCATGTTTTAGATAATGACGACGACTTTGAGGAATATCTTACACAATACAGATACACTAATCTTCGTCCCTTAAAGGAAGTGTGTAAGACCAGATTGCCTCGTATTGTCATTGGAACAGATAAGGATATAATAATTGATGGTGAAACAGAACCAAGAATTGCCTACGCAAAATTAAAAGGACACATGATTTCCACCGAAGAAAATATTTGTTACGACTTGTCACTTTTAGATGTAAATATACGAAACAAACTAATTAGAATGATAAAGTATATTCACACGAAATTTAGCGCTGAAGACAAAATAATAGAGATCATAACTCAGGAAAGAAGAGTATTAGAAGATGAAGCAGAACAAATGGAAATATTGAGGATTTTTCATGGACCTATTAACGGACATTTAGGAATACAAAAAACAATAGAAGCGATTGCCAGAAAATATTATTGGAGAAATTTACACAAGGACGTAGAAAAATATATAAAATCTTGTAATGATTGTCAACTCACTAAAAGAGCACAGTACAATGTAACTGCAGATGGAGTATTAATATATCCACCTACCCGAATAAATGAAAGAATCGCCATCGATCATGTAGGACCTTTACCCAGATCGGAACAAGGAAATAAATATATTTTGAGTGTTCAAGATCAATTAACTAAATTTCTCACCCTGATACCTGTTAAAAGCGTACAAGCATCAGATACAGCAAATGCATTACAGACAGATTATGTTTATTTATATGGGACACCACATGAGGTTATAATGGATAATGCAAAAGGATTCCAATCTGAAATTGTTAATATTCTTTTTAAATTATTAAAGGTAAAACCCAGACGCAACCATAAAGGATCAATTAAAAATTTTAGTGGAAGACAAGTCTGAGAGTTGGGATGAACATTTACGAAAAGTTCAGTTCATATTCAACAGCATGACTAATAGAGGAACAGGATTCTCACCTTTGGAAGCTACCATTTTGTCAAAGCCTCATTTGGAAACCACTATACCAACTTTACAACTCAAATCACAGGATGCAGCAAGATACTTGGAGCAGCTCAAAACAAATCATATTGATAAATTAAAGGAAATAAGACAAAATCTTATCAAGAGCAAGATGTAATATGCAAAGGAAATATCATCAAGAAGAAAAGGACATACACCTCTCTATCAAGTGGGAGATAAGATACTTGTGAAAAGTCTGAGAAGCACGCCATTATCGAAAATATTTAGTGGTCCTTATATCATTACGCACATTAACTCAGAAACTCACACTATAACCTATAGAGTTAAAAATAAAGAATATAAAAGGCACATTAATGAAACAAAGCCTTTCGAGGAAAGGCTGGAAACTGGCTCTTCCCGTTTGTCTTGCAAAGTCTTATCTCTAATACTGAACTGGATTTGTAAAATTTCTAAAATGAATTGTTCTAGGCTACCCAGACAGTGTTTTAAGAAATTGAGATTGCTGGCACTCAGGAATCCGGAATGCAAATCAAATTGGTTTGTGCAGCTAGGTGCATCTTTTGGGGTGCCTGATTTGGTCGATAGATGGTCCGACCTCACTCTGGATTCTGTGGAACTCATAAAAGACTCTATCTTACAGGAATATGACAATTATTATAAGACACTCGATATTAAGCATCGCTTTGAGTCGAAGAGTCTTTTGTTATACCCTCAACTTTCTATTAACTTTGACACTCAGCATTATTTAATTTCTCAATCCCCTTTGAAGGTCAAAAGAATTTTTGCTCAGTTGCGTTTATTAAACAAACATGTCCATAGAGTAAATTTCGGTAAATTTGTGTACAAGTTTAGCTTAAATGAGAGCTGCACTTCTTGCCGTGGAGAGGAAGACACTTTCTTCCACATTTTAGTTAATTGTCCTTCATGTGCACATTTGTGTAAAGCTGCTTTTCCCGAGGTCTTTCTTGATTTTAACTTAGAGGTGGGTTGGCTTGCGATTCTATCGTCAACGGAAAATAAGACTGTCAAATCTTTCGTTTATTTTATTGAAAAACTTCTTCGTATGCGATATAAGCACTCGACACATAACTAAACTAACTCAATAGTTCGCAATTGTTTATAAGTTTATGATGTACTGCGAGTATCTCCACTTGTAAATGCCACATGGTTGTAAACAAGTGAAATAAATAAATAAATAATAACACAGCAGAAAAACAAAATTTTACTTATCAATCAGTAATAACGATTTCAAATTTTCAAACTAAAATTGATTTATTTTTATATGTATTTCTTATAGGCAAGCAATAGGTGGCTAGGAAAATTTAAAAAAAAGATATAACATCCGCGCTGTCGAGATGAAAGAGGAGAAACTCTCAAATGATAAGGAAAGTGCTGAGGAGTTTTCAACATTTCTAAGAACAACAAGTAGGGGGTCCTTTATGTTTATTTCATAAACATTATGCTTCCTCATTGTGTGAAGCAAAAAATTCGCTTCCTTGTGAAGGAATCAATGAATTTGTCCAATTCAATTGATTGATTTAAAAACTTTCGAATTAAAAATGTTTTAAATTAATTAAATTTTTTGAAAAATAAAGAAAATTTTAATTAATTTTGAGTGTAACATAAACTTTATATATACGAATCGATTCGTTTTAATGCAAGGAATACAATTATTTTATTCATCAACTTGAATTAAAAAAAAACACAAAATTTTTTAGCTAAAATATGAATTTTCGATTTTTCAATTTTTATTAATTCTCAAATTTTAAATCAAATCTATACTTTATATATACCAACCAATTCGTTTCAATGCAGGGAATAAAATTATTTCATATATAAACATGAGTTTAAATAAACACATCATTTTTTAGCTAAAATGAGAATTTTTGATTTTTTAACTTTCTTTAATTCTTTCAATTTCAATCAAATCTATACTTTATATATATCAATCGATTCATCTTGACATAAAGAAGACGATTATATTATATATTACCTTAAATTTTTCGATTTAAAAATTTTTTCAATTAAAAAAAATTTTTTGGAAAAAAGACGATCAAATTTTTTTTTTTGGGTATTTTTAAAAATCCTCTCGTCATTTTTGAGAGATTAATGTGTTAAATAAGCCTACCAAATTTTATCCAAATTTATTAAAACCTGTTAAAGATATCGTGTTCACAAAAACGATCCACACACACATACACACACACATACATACATCCGGACAATTGATCAGGATCTCATATAACATGTTTCTATATAGAGGAAAATTTGTTTTCACCATTTTTAAAAAGTTTATAAACGAAAGGACTACATAGCTTCCTCCACGAGGAAGCAAAAAATAAGGTCGGAAAATTTATCGCTCGATAATAATTATTATGCAGATGAGACGGGAATGTATTGGAGAACAATTGTATCCTGCACTCTTTCCCAAAAAGCAGAGGAGGAAGTTTCGGGACGCAAGGAACGTAAAGACAGAATAACTGCATTATTCTGTTCCAATGCTCGTGGGAATAATAGAATCCCGTTATTATTAATCGGAAAATCAAATGTTCCTCATTGTTTAAGGAATTTAATTCCAAAGAACAAAAGGGACGACTGTTTAAAAATAATAGAAATGCTCGGTGTCGTTTACACGCACCAAAACAGCGCGTGGATGAACCAGAAAATATTCATGCACTGGTAATACATAGTTATGTACTACATTTATTTTACATACATATTTCATACTTTTTTTATTTTACTAGAGTTTAACTAACAAATAAATATAAAAAGTAAAAACAAAACAAAATTTTGCATTATGAAAAAAATACATGTTAATTTTCATAGATATTCAGTATATCAAAGAAATTTTGTTTTTTTTAATTTTGTAACTGTAATAAGAAATTTTTAAACTAATATTTTCAGTACAATGTTTTTTAACAATTACGATTTTACAGGTTCATGGAGATATTTATTCCGAACGTGCTAAAGTTTCAACGGGTATCGGGAAATGCGGGAAAAATTTTGTTGTTATTAGACAATGCTCCAGCTCATCCACCAGCGGAGGAACTTAATGCTGTCAACGAAAATGTAGAGGTGGTTTATTTACCTCCTAACGTGACGGCCTTGATCCAACCTATGGATCAAGGTCCGATATCACTAACAAAGAAACGGTATAAAAAAAGTTTGTTGCGAAATTTAATTTTTGCTGATAGATTGCAGGGTGCTGATAACTATCTTAAGAATTTAAACTATCACGATTGTTTTCCGATTTTAAATGAAGCGTGGAACAGCCTAAAAAACTCGACTCTAGAAAAGGTTTGGAAACATCTTTTAGGAGATTTATGCCAACCAGCTAACTGTCGACAGTCATCAGTCGCAAGTGAAAGTTCTAATAACTTTTCACAGTTAGAAACTAATGAAGCTGATGCAGATGAAGTATTGGAGAACATAAGAATTCCTCCTGAAATCAGCGCCAATTTATCTCGTCTCTCCTTGGAACCAAATTCGGAAGAAGTTTTGCAAAATTGGTTTGACGCAATCGATGAAACTGATTGTGGCTGGGAACCAATGTCAGACATAGATCTTGTCCAATTCGTGCAAAATAATAGAATTGAGGAAACAGAAATTGACGTAGTCACGAACAGTGAAAATAGTTCTGACAGCTCATCAGTTTTCCAAACGGGGGAAATATCATCCTCACAGGCATATGGAGGATTACAATTATTTCAAAATTTCGCTCGCAAAAAAGTTTCACCAGAAGAATATAACAAAATTCTATTATGTCTCAAAGTAGCAAATGACATATTAGAGGGCCGAGAACCAGAAAGTTCTCCTCAAAAAGAACTGAATTCAGTTTTTAAACTATAAGATTAGTATTAAAATTTGCATTAAAGAATTCACCTTTAAAAAGTTTTATGTGTTAAGCTTTAATGTATACAGTTATTTTGTTTGATTTTATTTTAAAGTATATGTACGTTGAAAATTCTTCTTGAAAGAGATTATTAGTTCGAGCTGTAATGTATATATTTGTATTTACAGTTTTCGGCGTAGAGGTTGCGTCAAGTACGAACTCCATCGACTGGACTAAGACTCGAGCCGTCCAGTGGATGGAGTCTCCAGTGTATATGCAACTTAGCACAGTTCAAATAATGTTAGCAGATAACAGATTGACATATGTTATACATACACCAATTCCTACTGATTGTGAGCCATTATATCGAGCTTTTAAATTTATACCTGTACCTATAGCTAGCTGGACAAAATATTATATTTACGAAAATGTAGCGACGAAACCAATTGCCATTAATCTCAAACAAACGGACTATACTTTAATAGATATTGAAAAATGTATTACCATTAATACTCTTAGAATTTGTGAAATAACAAATATAATACATAGATTAGCTATAGAGACTAGTTGTTACTCGCACTTGATAAGAGACAAAACAGATATGAAATGTAAAAAGAACTATTTCTCTTTACTAGACACTTACATTTTGGCTCTTACACTTGGTACATGGTTACACTTGGTATGTCTTATCTTATCACTCAGAGACTATATCTATTTTCTGTCCGAATTCTCACGAGAGAACTGTCATTATTAGTAGACCTTCTATTTTCGAGTTATCACCACATTGTCGGGGATCATCTCAAACAAATCTATATCTACCACGAAGTAACACAAATTTGACAGATGTGACAGAATACAAAATTAATATTACATTCACACATTTTGAAACGGACATACTACAAAACAAATTACTCACATTACCTACCTTTTCAGGTAGACATATAGACTTACAAGACCTTAAAGATTCTTCAAAGACTCTAGTCGAAATGACATCTGACTTATAGACCTTTTAGTTGCGACACAATCAAAACATGCTTGGATTCAGACTGAATATACGACTATACAATATATAGGACCCAGTATTTCCCCAATAAAATAAATTAATTAATATAAAGTGCAAAACGACACGACAATCGACTACTATATTTATATATTTTTAATGTCAATATCCTAAATAATGATATTAGTAAAAATTATATGTACTTTTTTATGAAGGGAAATTTAAAAAAAGGTGGTAATACCGTGTGCAATTTTATATTCGATGCAATAAAAAAAGAATTAAATGCTAACTATTATAACAAAATTTATCTTTTTTCTGACGAATGCGGTGGTAAGAATAAAAATTATTTATTTATGTGTTTTTATGACTTCTATCAAAAAAATTAGAAATAGAAATAATTCATTTATATCCTGAAGTAGGCCATTCATATTGCTCTTGTGACCGCAATTTTGGACTCTATGGTAAAAAAAATAATTTAGAAACCATTGAAACAGATAATAATTATAATCTTGTCAGATGTTCCATTAATCCACCATTTACAATAATAAAAAATAATGATATGGTAGTAAAAAATTTTGAAATGTTTATACCTGAAAAGGTTAATATTCCAAAAAATGTTCTAATTAGTAATGCGGTAAGAATTTGTTATTACCCAAATGGACATGTGAATATTAATGATAAATATAATGACGAAAACCCAAGAGATTTTTTATTAGAAACGGATTTAACTTTCGACGACTTATTAAATACACCAACTGCACCTCCAATTGCGATAACTGCGGAAAAGAAAAATGATGTTAAACATCTTATTAAATATTTAACTCCTAAAGGAAAAGAATTTTATAATACTTTTATTGAATCTACAGCTACGAAAAAAATTAAAAAAAGCTTAAAAGCTGTTTCAAAAATTTTACCAAAAAAAATCTAAGGAAAACATTAAACCGGTAACAAAAAAAATTTAATTAAATAAATAATTATTAATAAATTAAAATTAATGTAATATTTTTATATTTAAATATTTAACTAAAAATAATTATTATAAAGTTAAAATATATTCATTATGAGCTATAGCGAGCAGAAATACTCATATTTTCAGTATAACCCAGGTGTTAACGGAGCACCATCGCGCTGCGCGCTTTTGAAAATTAATCTATAACTTTTTAATTTTTTTATCAATCTTCTTGAAAATTTACAAAAAAATTCCTTAAATATTAGTGAACAAATGTCTCACTGGAAGTTTAGTCAAATCTAAAATTCCCTGCAGACTTTTTAAAAATCAAAATTTTGAATTTCGAATTTTTCTCCCTTTTTGAAGGTTTGACTGGCTTCAGAGCGTTCAGCCAAGCGTAGCGCGAGTTATTATATCCAGGTGCTCATTTGTACGAAAGGGCCTGTCCCGTCAATAAATGAAAGGAAATGAAATAAAAAATATTGGTGACAAAAATTTATTTTTTTTATAAAAAATATTGTTGAAAAAATGTATTATATTATTAAAAAAAATTAATATTTTTGATAAAACAATTTTTTTCATGAATATTTTCTTTAAAAAATAATGTTTTTTCAGACAAATTTTGGAAAAAATAATTAATTTCTTTCACCAATAAGTTTGATGAAAAAATAATTTTTTCAACAATATTTTTGTAAAATAATTCATTTTTTAAACAATATTTTTGATAAAAAATTAATTTTCTTTGTCATTAATATTTTTTTATGAAAATATTAATTTTTTTAAACAAAATATTTTTTTTTTGATAAAAAAAATAAACTTTCACTAATTTTTTTGATAAAAAAATGTAATTTTTATCAATATTTCTTAATTAATACATCAATTTTTTTATGAAATAATACATTTTTATCACCATTATTTACGTTTAAAATTAATTTTTTTCATCAATAATATTTTTTTATTAAAATATTAATTTTTTTAAATAAAAAAATACATTTTTTTTACTAATATTCCCGTTGAACAAATAATTTTGCATTTGATAAAAAAAATATAGAAAAGATTCAAAGAACAGAAAATAAGAGTGCTGCCACCTACCTGCTAAAAAGCTCGGCTCTATTGATTTTATCGACAAATGTTGATAATCAACTGCAATATACTGAAATTAATAAAAACATTAAATTTTTATAATTATTCAACAATAATCATCTTAAAATGCATAAAAATTATTGATTTTAATAATTATATTATGAATTTCATCATTTTTATACATACCGACCACACACGGTAAAAGTGCGCGAATATGAATGCGCATGATCTTTTGTCAGAATTTGGAACAAGTTCTTGTACGAGAACTCACTGTAAAAAATGAGTACTCTTTTAGAATCGGTATGATTTTAATACTGCTTAGTTCTATTTTAATACCTACATGCGGTATCTATCAATAGAAACTTAGAAAGTAATGAAACCAATCAACCAAACAAAAGTACCAACAACTTTTATTAACCTCATAAGAGGAATAAATTTGTAGCATGGTATTTTTGTATTTAAAGATTTATTTCATTATTTCATAAGCATGTACGAATGATTCTACAGCATATGCTTTTTAATTTTAATACTTTTTTCATTACATAAAGAGAATATTCTGATGATTTTAAAATACATACATGTATACGTCAATTACTTCTTTACCTTCAAGTCGATGAAACATGAGTTTACTTTAATAGCTATTTTGTCCTTAAATATATACCATTTTCAGAAAGAAAAAAAACGATTTATTTAAACATTACAGTTGGTTCGAGCCATTTAAAACATTACAATGTCGAGTAATAGTCGACAGGGAAAGGGCGACAAGAAATCATCGGGGAAACAGAATATTGATGATGATCATGATAATGAGGAAAATGATCCCTTATGGTTTAGGCGTGTACGAAAAGACATTAAGAAGGGCAACACCACAGATCCAACGAGTAAGTGTAATTTAAAACTGTGGAGATTTAATTTTTTGTTAATATTTTTCTGAAATTTAAGCTTGTATTTATTGCAGAAATAGCACAAATAGGTGCAAGACATTTAAAATTTGATGACAGTAGACGAGATGATACATTTCAATGACAAAGCACGAGCAGAGGTAAATTATTGTTATTTCTTTAATTGCTAAATATACCATAAATAATTGTATTGAAAAATTTATTCTAAACATTCAATTGCAGATGACAGCGCCTCTGGTTCTGCTCGTGCAGATGGATTGATGACCAGTAGCCATGCTGTCGAGACAGCGGATGACCGAATGAAAGAGCATCCACGTAAATTGAAGATTGTGATGAAACATAAAGGTAAGTGTAATTCGTGGTAACGTAAAAGAGACTTTACTTTACGGAGATGTTGTTAATATGCTGATTTTATATTCCCGAAGAAAGAAGAAAAATAAAAGAAGAGGAATCGGTTCCTGGAAAGGAGCAGCAGGGAGGAAATGCAAGTACAAAAAATGCCAACAGAGGTATATGAAATCAATTATTACTTCACAAGTTAAAAGATTAGAACTTTTGACCAATATTCAACGGAAAAACTGTCCAATAACACAGCAAGAAGTAGAAAAATATAAAGAGACGTACATTTGTTGAACAATTTATTTAGAATTACCAATAATAATAATAATTTACTTTTAGAAATAAAAAAATTTTTTAAAGTGAAATTTCGAGAAAGAAATAACTATTTTCAGTAGACATATGGATTGTTGGTTCATTTTCTGTGTGTCATTTTAAGTCGAGAGAAGCAAAACACATGACTTGAAAGTGAAATCTTTTGGAAGAAATTATAATTAAAGCGGCAACCATCGATGGGACAAAAATTTAATTTCATACACAGGTACGACATTGAGAAGCGAAGTGTGCTGAGTACGATCTGGAAACCAGTGGCAAAGATTTCCCCTGCAACACCTGCTAGTCATGTGCATGGACGAGGTGGAAAAAGGTCGCAAGTATAGCTATAGAGTTATAGCTTACAATACAGTTGCCCTCACAGCACCGAAACTTTCCTAAAGATTTCCTACAGATTTATTTGAAATGTTCGGAATATTCAATTGCAATGTTTAGTGAAAGTTGTGTAAAGATTTTAAATGTCCCACTTGAATAAATGTTTAGCCCGAAACTTTCCTGAACATTTAAATGTGGGACATTTAAATCTTTACATAATTTTCACTAAAAATTGTAATTAATTATTTCGAACATTTCAAATAAATCTTTAGGAAAGTTTCGGTGCTGTGTGTGTCCGCCTTTGAGGAAATATTTCATTGAAATATTTTGGAAATTTTCAATTTTAATAATGATGCGCACTGGTCAATCTGAGTTTCTATGGCTTTTACAGCTGCGCAGTAGTTTTTAATTTTCTAGGATACTAGGGTGTTAAACATTTTTGAAAATACCGATTGATTTCGTATTTTGAAAAAGTTCTAACTTTCGGTGAAATATTTCCTAAATATTGCAGGAGTTTTTATGTTTGATATTGCAGAAATATGAATGTGCAGTATTTCAGAAAATTGCATGGCAATATTTCCACAAAGGCGGACATTTTCCTGCTTGCAACAATATTTCAAGAAAATTTCATTGCAATATTTCAAATCTTTCAGTGAAATATTCCAAAAATATTTAGGAAATATTAAGTGCTGTGTGGGTGGTACCTTAATATGGTTCTTTACTTGAAATTACTCTCTCTACTGAAAATAATTTAAGATTGTTTTCAACACTTTGATAAATTATGACACATATTGAAAAATATGATATTGAAATATATAACGCTTCTTTGAAATTTGAATACATCAATTTTACAGACGAGGCAGAACCATCGACAAGAAGGCATAAAGATGACAAAAACGAAGAATCAAGGGACATGCAAAGGTGATCCTTGCATCGCTGGGCAAAAAAAATTATGAAAACATTGAAAGTAGGTGTATACCTTTAAATATCCCATTGCAAGCTTACACAAAAACAGTGAAAGCAAAAATTTCTTACAGAAATGCTTTTTTCAGGAACGAGACAAAAGAAGCATACGTTCACAAAAGATGAGCCACAACCGTCTATTAGTAAACAAGGATTTTACAAAATGATGGAAATTGATGAAGATCAATATCGACGTCCGCCTTTCCGTGGAAAAAGTACAATGGACGACATCTCAACCGACTCTAGAAAGTGGAAAACAACTTCGAATTCGAAGGATAATTCGTCGGACATAAAGCGGATTGAAAAGATGATTTGACATTAATCTCCAACAATCAAGTCAGTGGACAAAAGTGAGTTAATAATTTATATTCTTTTACATTTTTATCAAAATGAGTTTTTAATTTATCCAATTTTCTCTTTAAACAAATGTCCTTCTTAATGAGAAGAAAAAAGAATTATTAGTCAATGTGCTTGTCGCAGAAACTTAAGAAAAACGCAACAAACAACCATCAAAAACATCAACTTCAAAAGCAGCCAAGGACCATGGTGAAGACGCTTCCAAAGCGGATGAAGCAATGAGTATTGATGAATCTTTCGCAACGTGTGTGAAGCAGAGAGAAAAGGAAGCAGAAAAATAGCAGCTAGGGAGCTCGTGGCCAAAAAGAAAAAGAAACAAACAAGCTATGCAACGTACATGTCTCTTCAAAAAGAAAACCGAAAGAATGTACGAGACTTGCAGAAAAAAAGATCCGGAAGTGTATGAACTACTAGACGAATTCAAGCTTCAAATGGCCGACGAGAAAAGTGAAGTTGATCCTGATCTATTCAAGAAATTTCAAGAAATAAATAAAAAGAACAAAGTCTTTCCAAGTTAAGAAGAAGAACTCAGGGACTTCAACAAATTCCACATTGAAAATTTGACAACCATTGATTGCGTTCACCAAACGAACCTTCTTTTGCAAGCGGCACGAGAGATGGATTGTTACGTTTATATTTAATTTTGAAGGTAAGCGTAGTCAAAAGGTAATTTATACTTCGGAAGTCGTTAGCAAATATTTCACACGAATGCAATATTCGTTCTTTATTTTTATTTATTTGTAGGAATGTTTCATGCCTTAGCCCTATGGGGACCGTTATGAAATTGTTCTTACTTATTTGACAGAAAAGAGTATTAAAGGTTAAGAGTAAATAAAATATAAAGATATGCAAGAGAATATTAGTTTATTATAATAAGAACTCAAATATAAAATTAAATTATAAGTATAATAACCAAGTATTACTCACAACTTACTTATGTGCTTTCCTCGAAGGAATGTATATGTAGTATGGTTGAATAATTTATGTGTTTAGATATTTTAACAATGTTTAGAATTGGTTGGAAGTCAATACAGGGTACGAGATTTTGGTTATCTTTTTATCAAAAGTAAAAATACTTGAATGCCGATATTTGACCAGATTTTACATCAGAATCCGAAATAAATTATACCAAGTACAATGGTTCGTATAGACCATGCCATATAATTGTTAATGTTAACAATTAGGCCCGAATCCGCTTTCGGAATAAATAAACGAATCTATTGCTGATGGGACAAATATTAAAGTACAGAAAACCGAAATACAGACAACTGTTTAAAGTAAACTGTCGCAAAAAATGTATTGGTTCTGGAGGTGAATTTACAGGCTTTTATACCCTTTGGTATAGGGGTGACGGGGCAAAGGTGACGTTGTACGATTTTAAATAGCCAATCAACATATTAAATAATATATATCGTCACTGTTACCTAATCTGAATTAAATGGCTTTATAATGACCAATAAGAATTCATCTGATGGAGAGGAGTCATTGTTGCTTCTTAGTAAAAAGTGCGGAAATCATTTAAGGTTTTTTTTAAAAATGTTTGTTTAATTATATTATTATTATTATAAATAATATGCATTTTAACACAGGTTTTCAGATACAAAATTCTAATATATACTAATATATAGGTACAGTTAATTCCCACGTAGCATTCAATCCTCTGAAATTCTCGAGACAAATTCTGAACGGTACGCGAGTTTCAATGCTTCGCGAGTTGAATGGTAGGCGAGAACATTGATACTAATATTCGTACGCCAACGATACCGCTGTTTCAAGACTCTGAATATAGCCGCAAGTTGCAGGATTGTTGCTGGCTTCGAGGGTATGTCCGACAGACAACCTCAAACCAAGAAACGAACATAACATCAAAATCTACCTTACCTTACCTAATCAACCCAAACTAATCTGGATAGGGCGCTGGGTTCGAGGCTATGTCCGCCAGACATAACGAACATAACCTAAAAAATTACCTAACATAACCTTGCTAAAAACATAGGTTTCAAGGTTATGTCCGATAGATATAACCTCTAATACCCCTAGCTAAGAAACGAACATAACCTCAAAAGTTACCTAACCTAACCTTGTCGAAAACATAGGTTGGGTACAGTTGATATGGAATGACCATACTAGAGACAGCGACGAAATATTTTTATAATATAGAGATATATATATATTTATTTGATCAATTTTCATTCCTTTCGAAATAGTATTTGACAAAACTTATTTTAAAACAAATTTTTATTTTCGGCTATTTGCAATTTCTGACAATTAAAGATTTGTCGTATTAAAAATTATATTAAATAAAACTCGTGCAAATTAAAATTCGAATAAATGAAAATTTGATAAGTTAGAAATTTTTACATTTCAAAATTCGAATCACTTAAAATTCTGTTAAATTAGAATTATTGTAAATGAAAATTAAGTTAATTTTCAATTTCTTTAGATAAAAATTTGGGTAAAAATAAATTCTGCAAATTTGAAATTCTTTGAAATATAAGCTCGGCACCTAAAATTTTGTTAAGTAAAATCCCATTTGAAAAGAAATTCTGTTAAAGGCTACTTCGAAAAATGAAAATTTGTTTAAAAAATAAATATATTTAATATAAAATTATTTAAATTAAAAATTATAACTAATTATTTTTATGTAATAATCATGCACACTGTAAGTAGCCCAGAAATTGAATAGTATATTAATTCTTCTTAAATTATAATTTTATTAATAAATTAAAGCAAATGAAGGCATGCAAAGAACTATTAAAAAAAAGAAGCAATCCCACAAAATTCACGATGAAGATTCTTGCACCGCGCTGGAATTAATTTCAAATTGTGCGACAACCGAAGTACAATAACAAATGGTCTGATATACAGAATCTTACGTATGGAAGACTGGGGCTAAATGTTAAATTTTCGAGAAATGTTTTTTTAGGCATCAAAACATCTAAAACCTGTACAAATTATTTTTATCACTCTATTGCAAATGTTTTATGTATTTTATATACTATTTTAAATCTTTCACACTATTACTTATTTCATTATAATAAGCATTGGGTATAGGTATTGATCACGTATAGGGGATTGAAAAAGGAATGTCCAAAATTTAATAAGAATGTTATGAATACTGAATTTGTCAATCCTGTTAAAGTTAATGGGTTTATTGAATCATCGTTATCGAGAATAGGATTTACTGGACTCGAGGAAGATTTGGTAACTCCCTCGTTGAGACGTAATACTAATAGGGTAGACTGAGGGTTTATGTTCAAAGTTCTAATGACATATTTATAGTCCAGGATTTGACGTATGTGTATAAATATATTCATATAGATATACACTAATGAAATATATACGTATATGCAACAAAAAACTTTTTTATTCATTATAAATCAAATTAAATAGGTTATTTTAAAGAGGTTACATTTTTACACTTTACATTTAAACAGAATGACTCTTATAAAATCGTCTATGTGTCAAAGAGTGCACTAGTATTACAGTTAAATCTGAAGAAGATAATCCATAGGATAATGTTTGTTTTAATTTCAAAGATATATCAGTGCTCAGTATATTATAGCAGGTTTCTTAAAAATTTTCTAGAATGTCATTTTTCTAAACACTCACCTGTATTGGCTTGTTTCTTCTTTCAATAGATAAAATAAAGGGTAATTTTTATGTTCCGGTCCCCCTAAAATTTTTTTTATTCTCATTTTTTCGTTTTTTAAACAAAAGAAATGGTATTAAAAATTAAATTATTAAAGACCATATTATTATTAATTAATTGTCTTATGTAAGTAAGTAACACGATTTACATTTTTAGAAAGCCCTGTAAGCTCAGTCATGAGGTACTAATCGGTCTGCTATTCTTTTTGTTACCCCATACCTATTCGATCAGGAGCTCCCTCGCCATGACCTAGTTCCGAATAATTTCACGAAAATTTTTGCATGTTTGGAAACATTTTTTGAAATTCATTTGCGAAAAAATATAACATCTTTTTATTACGATACTATGCGACTACTCAATTGCTTACAAAATGTAGTTTATCAATAACAGAATGCTGTTGAATAAACTTTAAAATAGGATCTAAACGACCCCATAATCCAACATCATGGTGATTAAGATTTTCTGATAAAGTACAGAAGCAATCTGTTTTTAATTCTGTTCCAGATCTTGCATACACGACAGTGTAGTGTTTGTTTTCACCAATATTTCCTTTAAAAAAGATTTTCTTTCACCAATATTATTAATAAAAAAATTGGTTTTTCATCAATATTTTTGATAAAAAAATAAATTTTCACCAATTTTTTTGATTAATAAATCAATTTTTTTGATGAAATAATACATTTTTTCACCATTATTTACGTTTAAAATGAATTTAAAAAAAAAATTTTTAACCAATAATATTTTTTTATTAAAATATTAATTTTTTAAAATAAAATAATACATTTTTTACTACTATTTCCGTCGAACAAATAGTTTTGCTTTTGACAAAAAAAATATAGAAAACATTTAAAGAAAAGAAAATAAGTGTGCTGCCACCTACCTGCTTAAAAGCGCGGCTCTATTGATTTTATCGACAAATGTTGACAATCAACTGCAATATATTGAAATTAATATAAACATAAAATTTTTATAATTATTCAATAATAATCATCTTAAAATGCATAAATCTGATTGATTTTAATAATTATATTATCAATTTCATCATTTCTATACATTTTAGATAAAATTTCAATTTCGATCTCGTGCCCCACGAATGCTCCGCCAATTTCGTGGAGCATTCGCATCATACAATCCGCCGGGGAAAGTGCTGCTGCTTGGAATATAAAGGTGTGATTTTCTTAATTTAATATAAATAGATTTTTTTAATAAACATAAGTGATAACTAAATATGTACACTTCTTGGTGCTTGGAGGTTTGCATATGCTGAAATTTTATGGTAAGTCTTATGTTTATAATAATAACGAATTATGTATTTTATTGCCAAAAGGATTCGCTCGCCGGAAGGGGACCGCGTCCTTGTTGCTCACTTAATTCTTAATTGTGGCGTAAAGTGCCATCTATGTTTACTAGTTGGAACTATTTCTTACTATGATTTAGAGGAAAGGTGCAGTCAATAATGACTCTTTATTGAAACCTTCGAAAGAATAATATATTGTTAAATAAAAGGAATAATAAAAGATACCGAATATAATAATGAATATAAAACTATTGAATATAGAATACATTATTTGTAAAATATTATGAGTAATATTTTGAAGTTTCTTAAATGTATTTTTTCTATTTAGCGCCGCCATTAAGGATTTTGATTATAAATTGTAACGGTAAACTCAAGATCATGTTCATGAACTTACGCACGATCTTACACAAGTACACGAGCATGGACTCGAGAACTTGCCTAGTGGGCAAAAAACCATGTTCGTTTTAAAAACGTTTTTAGAACGTTTCATGTCCGCCAAATAATGTTCTGGAACATTTTATGAACATGGATGAACATGAACGTTCTTAAAACGTTTTTAGAACGAACACGGTTTTTTGCCCAGTGGGTGATTTCTTTAATTACTATGAATAAACATATGCATGTTCTTGTTCACTTACTGCTTTTGTACATGACCTAGTGAATGAACATGTGCAAGATCGTGCACACGATCCTGTGCAAGTTTTTTCAACCGAGCAGATTGCTTCAAGGGTTCAGTTGACTATTACCAGTCATAGCATTAATATATCTGTAAACACGGTGGTCTAGAAGTAGTCACAGGTATGACAAAAATGGGTATAAAAAGTAGAAAGTGGGTTTTGTTCGTGACTATTTCTAGTTTAAAAATTCGTTCAGACCAAAATCCTAGAGCCCCCTATTCTCAAGATATCGGCATTTCCGTTTTTTCAATCTTCTTGCGCAAAGTCAAGCGAAAAGCGCT